TACTTGCAAGGGAGAAAACGCGCGTACTTACTCAATCGGTCCACAACCGTGAGGATGCCGTCGTGCCCGATCCGGTCGCGAGGAAACGGACCGGTGACGTCCATGGCAATGGAGAGACCGGGTTCCCGTGGGATAGGCATCGGGTGTAACTCGCCGTAGGGATTGCGGTTGCGGGGCTTGCTGCGTCGGCAAACTTCGCAAGAGTCGCAATACCGAGTGACATCGGTAATGAGGTCGGGCCATCGGAATCGCTGTCGAAGCCGTGCAATAGTGCGGTTGACTCCGAAATGGCCGGCGAGTCGTGAATCATGATWCTCGCCAAGGAGGCGAGTCYGAAGACGACGGTCGCGTGGGACACATAGTAAGTCCTTGCCTCTCGAGTGGAGGAGCAAGTACCCGTCGGCAATGCGGTAATGGCTGGCCGGCGGGTGATCCGAAGATAGCTGTGCATAGAGCGTGCCGAAGTCCGGATCAGACTGATATGCCCGGATGAAGTGTCGCTGAAGCAACTCGTCGAATGCGAAGGCATGATGTGTCATAGCGCAAAGATCGGGTCTTCGCGAGAGTGCATCTGCTGCGCGATTTGAGAGGCCGGGCAGATGTTTCGGTGTGAAGTCAAATTGGTCGATGAAGTACATCCATCGTCTGATCGTGCTGCTCACCGTATCCTGCGTCTTGTAGTAAGTCAATGGATTGTTGTCCGTGACCCTTGTGAACCTACGACGCCTAAGGAGGAAGTGCCGCCATCGCTTGAGAGCCATGACGAATGCGAGCAGCTCCTTCTTCCTTGCATCATCAAGCGAGTTGATGGGAGGCACTTTGTGGCTGAAATACTCCACAGGGTGCCAGTCATCGCCGTCGTGCTGTTCMAAGACTGCCCCAATGCCATAGCCGGAAGCGTCCGTAGTCACTCGCGTCGGCAGGGTGGGGTCATAGATGCTAAGGACGGGTGCCATGAGCATAGCCGTCTTAAGTGCTTGGAATGATCGGCGTGCGGCATCATCGAATACGAATGGCACCTTTGGCGACTGTAACCTCGTCATAGGTGCAACAATCATGGAGTATCCGGTGATGAATCGCTGATAGTAGCCCGCCAATCCCATGAATGAACGAACGTCCGTGGTGTTGGTGGGCTCGGGCCATACTCGTAGGGCCTCGATCTTGTCCGCAAGCGGACGGATGCCTTGCGGCATCACATAGTTTCCCAAGTATTCCAGCTCCTGCTGTGCGAACTCGCACTTGTCGCGATTTGCTTTGTACTTGGCTTGTCGTAGCCGCTCCAAAACGGTGCGCAGGTGTTCCACATGCTCATCCAAACTCCGACTATACACCAAGATGTCGTCGAGGTAGATGAGTACAAACCGATCCAGCATGTGTCGGAACTCCGTTGTCATAGCCGCTTGGAAAGTGGCTGGGGCATTCGTAAGGCCAAACGGCATGACCAGCCATTCGAAATGCCCATACCGTGTCTTAAACGCGGTCTTGTAGCGATCCTCCTTGCGAATCTCGAGTTGGTGGTACCCTGACTTGAGGTCCAGCTTAGAGAAGAACTGGGCGCCGCCCAATTGCTCGAGAAGGTCGTCGATGCGTGGGAGAGGGCCGGCGTTCCTGATCGTCTGCGCGTTGAGCTTGCGATAATTGATGCACAACCGCAGGTCCTTGTTCTTTTTCCGGACGAAGAGGACATGAGCACCGTATGGCGATGAGCTAGGCCGAATCCAACCTTTCTCTAGAAGATCGGCGAGTTGTGCACGGAGCACACTTAACTCTTCCTCGCTCATTCGGTAGATGCAGCCGCGCGGAGGTACGGCCCCGTCCTCGAGGATGATCTCGTGGCGGATGGGTCGATCCGGTACTACTCCGTGCGGGCCTTTGAACACGTCGCTGTAGGCGTCGAGAAGTTCGGTGATGCGTGGATCCGAAGGTGAGTCCGCCGATGAAGCGTCATGTGGCGGGAGGGCACGGAGAAAACACACCCCCATCTCCTCGATGTCGTCTCTGATGATGGAAACTCGCGTGCTTGCGGCGGATACCACGTGGCAGCTGATCGAAGGGTGAGGAAGAGGCACCGTGCATGGAACTAATACTCCGTTCCGATCACGAACGTGAACGGTGCGGTTGAAAAAGTTCATTGGGTGATCCTTGCTTCGCAGCCATGACATGCCCAAGATCATGTCGAATTTGGTGTCCAGAATGTCAAAGGACACCGCCTCACTTGTGTGAGGGGCAAAGTACACTGGGACGACGTCAATGCACCGGTCGATGGACTTGTGCGTATGACCGTCTGCCAGAGTGACTTGCGTAGGCTGGGACTTCCTCCGGACACGTGGGCCAAGGCCGGCGCGTACCATGAAGTCCTGGCTGATGTAGTTTCGAGATGCTCCGCAATCGATCAAGGCACTGCAGGTCGCCTCTCCGATCTGAATGCGTATGTATAGCAATGGTGCGTCGATGTCATCGTACCGTTGGGTCTTGAACTCGCGGTCAATCTTCGCGATGTACTCGTGAAGGTTGACAACCTCTACTCCGCCGTCCATCAACGGAGCTGGTACTGCAGTGTGCAAGTAGTCCCGCAATTGTGCCATAAGCACGTTGCAATGCGGTTTCGACAATCGTTCGGTCGAGGGAACGGGCATCCACTGGAAGTCCGTGAACGTCAACGGGTCGAGCTCATCAAGTCTTGACCATGACGTCGAATCCCCGGCGATAGATTGCGGCGAAGGTGCCGAATCGGTTGCCGATGGTGATGAAACCGTGCATGCGGTGGACTGTTGCACGTGGAGCGGCTGGTCCAACGGTGGGACCAAGTGGACAGCATAGTCCTCGTAAGTATACCGAGGACTTGCGACATTCGCATCCTCCCCAGATGTGCAGGAGGCCGCTAGCAAGGCGGTCGAATCTGGCGGAGTAGAAGGTGGAGTCGCCTCACCTTCCGCGGAGCTCAGTTTCCCGAGCTGAGGCGGGGTCGCACATCCTCCTTGCYCTGATCTTGGCACAGGGAGGTCTTGTGCTTGGTGCTGTTGCACCAATAGCAGCTGCCGCAGCGGCCGCGGACCTTGTACTCCGCCTCGGTCAAGCCAAACTTGACCCATGGAAACTGTCCTGGCTGTCCATTTTCGGTCTGCGATGCGGATTTCGCCTTCCCATTGTTGCGGGACTTGTTGGTGCTTCGCGGCTGGACAGCAGCCACCTGATCTCCGTCACTTGATGCTGGAGTGGCTGTTGGGTTATCTCCACTGTCCTGTTGGACTGCAGCGAAGTGCTGCTGTCGCGGACCAGTTCGTACCTTCTCCACATAGGTCGGCTGCCATGATGTTGATTTCTCGTGTGCAGCTGACCTGTTGGTCTTGATGATCTCCCTTGCTTTGTCAATAATTTCAGCAAAGGTTGAGTACTGCTCGCGATCACCAAGAGCCTGGCTCAATGCAGYACAGGACCTGTTGTAGAACTYACGGCGTARATGCTCGAATGGTAAGTTYAGATTGGGCACARCYGCAATCTTCTGCCACTCCGTGAGCCAGTCCCGTGTTGCTGTGTTGCCCTGTGACATGGCGAACAGTCGGTTGATGGCAAGTGCTGGCGCGTCGTCGACGATGAACCGCTTCTTCCACAGCCGTGTCAGTTCTTCCCATGTGATCTTGTCCTTGAGGTCCGGTACGTCGACTCCGTGGGAGGTTGCCAGGTGGGTCAACCAGGTCTGGCATCCGCCCTTTGAGTTCAGGAACAGGGCGCCGATGTACTTGTGCTTAGCGACAGGCAGAATCCTGAGTTGCGTCGTGAATGCCTTCCACGAGAGGGTCGGATCCTGCTGCGTGTAGTCGTCGAACTTTTCTAGTTGGAAAGTTGGCATCTTCTGATTGCCATCTGCGTTCGTCGACTGCAGCTGTTGGACCTCGGTCTTTAAGGTATGCAGCTGAGTGCTGATGGTGGACGGCGCAGCGAAGGTGTTAATGTCGCCGAGCATTGCCAGGATGTGGTCAACGCGTTCCTCCAGTTGGCGGCTAGAGGGTGCACTGCTGGAAGCCCCAGCAGTTGGTCCTGGTACAGCCTGTTCCAGGTCCAGCAATCGGGCATTGAGTGCCCGAGTTGCATCCTCGTGGCTCTGCACTGTGCGGCGGAGCGTCGCCAACTCCTGATGCTGTTGCGTCAGGTCATGGTACTGTCTCTCCAACTCTGACCGTTGGTAGTTGCAAGCATACAGCAACCGCGTCACGAGTTTGGAGAGGAACTCATTGTGCTTCTCTTCTGGTGTTGGATTGTCGCCGTTCGGTTGAAAGTGCCAGAACTTGAGTCTGTCGATGCTGGTGGCTTCATGCCGCTGCAGCATATCCTGGGCTTCCTTGCGGCGAGCCTGGGTATCTGCGTCTGCTTCGGCCTGTAGCCGCAGCTTCTCTGCTGCTGCCGCTTCGTCAGCCTGTAGCTGGGCAGCCTTGGCTGCCAGCTGGCGTTGCTCCTCAGCCGCGATTAGTGCGAGCTGAGCTTCGAACCGCTGTCGGTATTCGGCAATGGATTCATTTGCCAGTTGGCCTGTCATGCCCAGAAGTGAGCCTGTCATGGTGGCGGGTCACTGCTGATGTGGCACTGCTTACGTGGCACTGTGTCGGACGTCACTGCTGACGTGGCACTGCTGTCGTGGCACTGCTGATCTGGCACTGCTGACGTGGCACTGTGACTTGGCACTGTGACGTGGCACTGCTGACGTGGCACTGCTGATCTGGCACTGTGATGTGGCACTGCTGACGTGGCACTGCTGATCTGGCACTGTGACGTGGCACTGCTGACGTGGCACTGTACCGAAACGGGATGCATGCAAGGGGTGGGTGG